CCATTTCCTCGTTGTACACCCTTCTGTATCTCCCTTAATTTCCTTTTCCCCGCCATTGTATCCGTATGTTACGAATTGCACGTAAAGACGTACCTGGTTAGTTTTGCGCAATCGAGAGAGGAAATGCACGCGAGAAGGAAAGAACAGGCGAGAAAGGGAGGAAGCTTAGGGGTGTAAGAGCGGGATGTACGTAGTAGAGAATTCCCGTATTTCCTCTTTCTTCTGTCTCCCTTTTTGTCCCACTCGAGCTGTAGATCGCTTCTGCAGGAACTACCGTGACATGGAGGAGAGTCGCGTTGCTGTAGAACTTGTCCGGGGTTAGACTATTTCATTATCCTATCCGAGAGTATGGCATATCGAGCTCAGGTTCGGAGATTGAGAGGTTTCTCATCCGGTGCGAACCTTTGGGAGATTGAGAAACTGTTAAGTCAATGAGATACATAAGTTTACGCTATCGTCTCGAATGTCCCAGCTACTCCTTTCTTCTTCCTCCTTCTCGAGATGATTTTTATTTTGCGCTCGCATCGGATCGGAAAGAAAGAAAAAAGCGAACGTCACTTGTTAACGAAATATATATTTCACATTTCGATTTTTTATTACATATCTGGTAAATAATAAAACGCGTAATGCTGAAGGAGAACAAATGCTACTGAAAAAGTCATGCGAAACACGAGAGTGGAAAAGTTAAAAATACGCGATATCCATTATGCATTTTTTTGGTATAAATTAAATTTGCGTTCACTCTTATCAAATTACACGCCCATTATATTGTGCACGTTTCAAATACACGTTTTTTATAAAAATGCACATGACACGTATGTGCATACATTTTTTATATAAAATATTCTCACCTCATTATTCTCTATATTAGGTGAAAATTTTGATTTTTTTCTTTCCCTTCGCTATTTTACTACTCCATCTCTTCGCGTTTCATCTCGTTATTCTCGTCCCTTGCGCCTTTGTGCACTCTCTTCCGTTACACCATCGCCTTTTTCCATCGACTCGCTTCCTTTGCGCCCTGCGCCAACTCGGCTGCCTCGGGCCGTCAGAATCAGCCCTTGTTATGGAAGGGTGTTACGGTAGTTAGCCGACACACCGGAGTTTACGACGGAGCAACGACGCGACGTCGTAAATCCTCGTGCATTGTTTGGAAATTCGCAAACGCTAATCGGTTCTTGTCGCGTCGACGAAAGGCGCATCGTCATCGTTTTCGTCGTCGTTGCTGTCGCTTAAGATTGACGTCGACGAAGGTCGTCGATAGATATTCGTGGAATTTCACGCTGTCGCCCGGACAAAATTTCTCAAATTTACGGCTGCGCATTCGTCAGGGAAATAAATGACTGCGCCGATAAATCTATCCCTGATTTATATCGAAATATCCAGGGGGAATATTATTAAATTATATTTCCCTCGCGCCCGCGTGGAGAATATATTAAAAATAATCGCGCATTTTTGGATAAGCTCTTTTTTATAACATTCAACTCGTACGTTCCGCGTCTGTATATTTTCATAATTCTCACATTTTATTTTCGTACAAGCGGGCGACGTGCGGATTTATTTATAATCGATGCATATTATTTATCATCGTCGAGACGATTATCGCGCTGTCTGTCGGTCATAGAGCATTTAGGGATTTAAACGCGCAACACTCGCGCGTTACAGCGAAAGCGCGATCGATTTAATCGCGCGCGGCTGAATACGTTTAACGCGTTATCAAATAATCAGATCTCGTACAACAATGGTCGGCAGATTAACCGCGTATGTACGCATATCATTCGCGTTTCGACGACGGGGCGCTAATCCCCGCGGCGCGAAAATAAATGATCGCGCTCTCTAAAGAAATTTTTTTTTTTTTCTCATTCTTGTGATTTAATTTAATGTATGAATTTTATGCCCTTTCCCACTTCATATATCGCGCACACTTATAAATCAGAGTTCGGTCGACATCTTCTATCGCGTGTAATGTGCACACGCAGGGCTTGCCCAGCCGGCGCAGCCTCCACCCTCCGATGTGCAAACTCCATTATAGAAATTTTCCCTCCGAAGGCTGCAAATATTTTACGATCGATCGGCTAAAGGGAGAGACGACGGATAAAAGCGCGACGACCGACGTCAACGGCCCAGCGTCGAAGGGCGACCGAGGAAAATCGAAGCGAAACGCCGCTTGCCTGCCTGCATTACGATAGGTCAGCGTCGAAATTGCGAGTCTTCAAAGAAAACCCATTAGCCGCCACAAAGTGACATAAATCGCGCTTAAACGCGACACGACGCGCGTTTAACGAGCAACAAGATTATCGCGATAACTTGAGAATAAGCCTCCCCACGACTTAGGCTTAACTATCTTTTCCTCTCTTTTTTTTGCGTTCTCCCCTTTCCACCCTGCCTATTCTTTACAATGAATTGTCCCTTAAATTATTAAAAAATCAATCGTCAATTTTGTATTAAAATTTTTTGTATAATTTTTGGTAATTTTTCTCAAAATAGAGAAGCCAAAAGAAGGCTCCGTTAACACTGATGAAGTCGAGATCAATAGCATTTTTCGTTCAATTATTCTGACGTGAATTTACGATGCCGCTTATGTTGTTACCTTAAAATAATGATTTTTAGAGCCGAAAGTGATCTTCGCACCATGATGAAAACTAACAAGTAGACAACGCAACGATGCGTAACACAAAATGCAAAAAAAATTTCATTTCAAATTAATTTTGCGTGCAAACATTCCAAATTACGAAACGAAATATTTTCTCGCGAATAATTATATTAATTATACGTCATCGTAAGTTGAAAATGAAAATCAGTCTATATAATGGTTGATAATTTCGTACAACTTCGCGCCTCTAAGCGATCTTTTAAAGCGCTTATCGATAAACTCAGTGTCAATGTTTAATTCAAGCAGAATTTAATCCGAGTTAAAGTTCGGAATTCCCTGAAAGTTATCGACGCAACTATATTGTCCTGATTAACAGGCCGCTCCGACTCGTGTCAGTCTGTAATATATATATAATAATATTTTTTCCGACAAATTTGATTTTTATAATATACCTACAAACAATATATATATACGGTGCCGCGTATAAGTGCGCAACTATTGACGACAATAATTATGCGATTAAAGTTGCCAGCGAACTTTAATGGCACACAGGTAAGCGAGAGGGGATGAAAAATGCCGATATCGGCAAGTTGGTATCGATCAGCTGACGCGCGCATATCAAGCGGGAGAAACTTTCAGCAGAGAGAAATGTGTTAGAGAGAATGACAGAGCTCGGTTAAACAACGGCAAGCGGAACAGAAGGGGTTGGAAAAGGGGGATGTGGGCCCTTCTTGTTTCGTCTGCGGATGTAGAAAGCTTGCTGCGGAATATCAGCGAAATTGCTGCTGGAACCTCTCCTTGACGGGGCGTATTCGACGAGTTTCTCGGTTTGAAACGTGCTTTATGCTACTACGGGACAAGAGGAGAGAGAGAGAGAGAGCAAGAGAAAGAGGGAGTGGGTTATAAGAAGCGGATATAGAAGATAAGTTATTGCTCGTCGAGGTATGCGCGCGGCTACGTATTTCCTTATATACTTCCGCTCGGCATCTTCCTCCTCATTCCTGCCGTCTATTGTCGGCAGGATTACCCGTTGAAGGGTGTTCATGAACGCGGCGGTATTGCGTCGTTCGTCTACATTTAAATCCCATCCATTTGCGGCCGGCGAGTCTTATATAATCGCGCGCAGCAGCCGGCAAAGCGTATCGCGATCGACCTGATGTTTCGTTCGCATCACCGCCGACCATCCTCGTGCGCCAGTTATAGGGTAGGATGTGTCCCGAATTTATTGACATCGGAAATCACGAGTTTCTCTCATTCTTCACTTTTTCCTCACTCTTTAATTATTCAAATAGCTTTTAAATGATTCTTATATTAAAATTTTGATAGTCAATAGGTGATAATTATTGCACACAGAGAATTTTCCTTCTAGAATTTACCCTGAAAATCATCGTAGGATAATACGATATTGGAAGAATTTTATATAAGAGTTTCTCTTATTAAAAAATATTAATGTCTACTGCAATAAGATATAAAATATGTTTGATTTACTATGTACATATTTTTTATTGCGGTAAATATTAATCCGAGAGACTCTTCTAAAATTTTGTGGGCTAAATTCAGAGAAAAAATTCTCTCTCTGTGAAAGAGCTGTGTTTAAGCATACCTTGATATTTTTATTAAGGAAAAAATAAACTTGAAAAAATTCGTCGGGAAGAATCTATTTATAAAACATTACTCACGCATTTCTGCGAAAGTATAAGAATAAGCTTGTATCAACTTTTATCTGCGAAGATCAAGCTTGATAAGATCTTTGTTCGATTGCAATGAAATCATTCCGCGTAAGGTTCTGTTTCAAGATGACGATTGCGCGATTGTGTATTTCTCGCGGATTCGGTGGGGCATTTTTCCGCCATCCCCTTATAGCTAAAACAGGATGGTCGCAAACAGACGGTATCTTAAAAAAAAGGGTCAATTCCGCGCGTAACTCTCGCGATCCTAGCATTTCTCGCAGTCTGGCACCGTCGAGCATGAAATATTTCCTGCTCAAGAATACGGAAGATACGCATTCGACGGAAGACGCGTCTAACGCAATCGACTTGTCTCCTCTCTCTTTCTCTTTGCCTATTTCGTCATATCTGCTGCTTTCTCCATTTCCTCATTATTCCCTGGCAATAAGTCTCTCGCGAGTCCAACTTCTCTCCGTCTCGGCGTGTAAATTTATTCTCCCCAGTTTTATATTTATTTCTCGAGCACAACATGATTGGTCGATTTTTTTACGCGACACGTCCACTCGATGTCAAAGAGGGAGGAAAGAGAGAGAGAAAATGGGAAAGAGAGGGTGGATGAAACGAGAAAGCTGCGGGCAGGAATGAATTCTAGAGAAAAACGAAGTGTATAATCGAGCTGTGCCGACTAGGATCGACTCTCAAAGGGACAACTTTGCGCGAGAGATGATCTTGTTTATACGTACCGGGTATCGATTTACCGAGATCGAGATATTCGCGTACAGACGGGCTCAGGAATCCGGGTGGCACGGCTGGCGCTTCGTTGGTCGGATTGTTTCTCTCGTCCACCGGATCGTCGTAATAATAATCATCTTCGTCGGGATCGAGCGGCTTCGCTCGCTTCGACACTTTATTGCCCCGATTGTCGCGTGTACCATCTGTAAAAGAAAACATTCAGCTGTAATGCAGCATCCAACGAGGGTAAAATTGAAGAAAATTAAAAATAAAACAAAATATTTCAAGAAATATTTTTCCTTTAATTAAAAGCTTCGTCGGCAGAATCTGGATACTCGATATTTAAAAGTCTCGTTTCCTTATCCGGAGCCAACATCAAATTATAATTCCCGAAGTGAATAACTTGTAAAATAATTTTTCTCGTGAAATGAATTAATTTCGAGTTTCTGATAATACCAGTTGATGGATTGATAAAATATCCGGAAACTCTTTTATTTCTCGTGCATTAGTAAATGCACATGTATAGCTTTGATCTGCATACTTCATACTAGACCTTATGACATATTATATTTCATTACATTTGATTAATATCTATTATTGAATAATTTATTTTGACATATTAATTTTTCGCCTGTAAAATCATAAAATTCGACGTGACGTCAATAAAGGACCTTGGAGTAATTTGAATACAAATCCAAGTCACAAAAATCCGCGTTACCCTAATTTCATTGTCCACCCGTCTCTTTTTCCCACGTTATTTCGCACGATCAAAAGTCCTCCCACTGTTTCTAGCATGATTTTCTTCCTGATGAGTCTCGTCTGTACGCGAAAGAGAAAGATCAGGAAGCGCTGCGCCCGTGTGCAGCCTCCGGGGGTTTGGTCATTTGAGCGCAATCTGAAATTTAAATGATTTGAAAACGCGGCCGACCGCATCACCGAGGTGGCTCCCGGAGGTAAACAAATTTTTACAGTCTCTTTAATTCATGCGGAGAACCGTTTAATCGATATTGTCCACGCCCGTGCCCGCTTGTTTTTCCTTCGGGAGGAGAAAAAACAATGCCGTCCCGGTGCTGCGGATGCGTAGTGTACGATGATGGTATTTGCGTTTCCAGGTGCGTTTCGTTTTCCACAGGAAGAGATTTTCCTCCTATCTCGCTGAATATTAATATCGTCGTTCGCGGGGGATTTTCGCGGGAGAAACCTCCTTCCCGAAACATTTGCTCTTTATATACATACATATATATACACGCCGCGATGGTGCGTCTTTACCAGGCACGTCAAACATCCCGGTAACTTCCCCGAAATACACGATCGGCTCGATGTCGAGAATTAACGGGCGATAACGTTTCAACAACGGGGCAGGTCGGCTGAGCCGCGCTTGAAATTAATTAGCACCGGACTCCCGAGGCGTGTTAATTTCATTACCGAATATATGTATATACGTAGCGTAGGAGTCACGTCGACCGTTCATACGAATATATCGTGAATAACGCAGTAGATATCGGTCCACGTGATGGTTGGACCGCAAAACTTGGACGGGACTCTCTTTCCCGCAGGTGTGTGTGCGTATCTCGGCGAAACTTTGCGCCGTCCGCTGGCGTGAATGGACCAAGTTTCGTCTCGGTCGGGGACTGGGTCAAGCCTGGAAAACCTTGAGTCTCACCGGCTCTCTCTCTCGCTCTTTAGAATAAAAGGAGGACCGTGCTGCTAATGAGATGAAGAGTTACCGCGGGAAAACCGACGAAAATTTCTATGTCCCTGATGCAAAATAATACCTACACGGAGAGAATTTACTCTGAAGATCTATGGTAGTCGAGGAACAATATGAGATTGGAAGAATTTTATCATTTTCTCTGGTTAATATTTTATTGGTAGATATTAATATTGTTATTGCGCTGTAAATATTAATCAAAGAAACTCTAATAAAATTTCATCCCACGATTACCAGCATAAATTCTAAGAGAAAGTTCTCTCTGCGTAGAACTAGAAAATTAAAACGTTCTTAATAAATATCCTCGTATCCACGGTTCCGCGATTAAATAATAAATTAAAAGATATAATTTTATTCCCTGACAAAAATGACGTACATATTTATAATATATACGAAACGATTAACCGCGAGCTCTCTCTCTCTCTCATTACAATAATATATGAATAATACAAGCGAATTTATTTTCCCGATAAATTCGACCGCGCGTATACGAATCCTTAGTAGGACTTATTAACGCGCGAGGTGATAACACAATCGCGGGCAACTCGCGCGCGTTACTCCGCTTTTACGAAGAGCCGCGCGGAATATCCCGCGTGTTCGTTCTATTTGATGCCGCGTCCGTGCCGCGGAGGCTAATTAACGGCTCATCGACGAGGCCGAGCTTTATGCGTCGAAACGCCGCGGATTAATTCGCGCGCGAGGACAATACATCCGCACGGCCGCGGGATTTTGCAATCAGACAGGCTATATACTTTGGACGCTATTTTTTTCCTTCCTCGCAGAGCACGTGAATCTGTGTGTCGTTGATCGCACGTAAAACGCGATTTTAATGTTGAGCATCGTTCTAAAATATACGGTCTCTACATAATCCCGTATAAAAATACAAGAGTAACGTTATAACCGTTAATTTGCATTTCATTTCGTTCAACAGTCATCTCTTTTGCGGCGGAGAGTGACTGAGAAATTATTTCGCGATATAAATATAGAAGTAGAGGTACATATATATATATATAATCGTTACTTTTCTTTTCAGCTAGTTTTACAATTGCGCGTCGTATCTCCCGTAGCTTCATTCAACTATATGTATTTACATTATGTTATGTCGCTCGTGCGAAAGGGGGAGGATCGGAGTATAATATTGTCTGTCCGTCCGTTCTCCATTAAAGGAACAGAAAGGAGCGCGAAGGAAAAAGAGCCGCGCGCGACGTAACTATTTTCTGCGTTTCGTCACGTGCAAATATCCCAGGGAAACGGGCGCTTTAATATCGCGCTGTCGTATGAAAATTCGCCAACGAAACGCGTTGGCGAAAGGAAGTACACAGACAGAGAGAAAGAACGAGCGACCGAGAGAGGGAGGACGGGAAAATAAAAGGACACGCAGAGGGTGCAAGAGGCAAAAAAAAAAAAAAGAGGATGGGGACAGAACGAAAAAAATATGATCGTCTTCTTCCGCGAGAGCAACGTCTCTTTCTCTTATTCGGTATACGTGTTGAAAATATCATTCACGCGGATGAGAGAGAGAGAAAAAATAAATGCCTTCGACTACGACCACAAATACCGATGTTTCGCTAATTCGTATTTATCCGCGCGTGACGTCGATTATGCACGCGCGTGCATCGAAACGCGGCGGCTCCAAATACAGATGGGAGGAAAGGGGTGGTCAGGCGATCGAGCGCACGAATGCAGCGGAATGCACGCTCATTATCCGAGCAACGTATTTCCTTGCACGGGCTTCAAAGGACGTTAAATATGTATGACGGTATGAATAATGTGAGACCTCGTCGTGCGTTATTAACAATTTATTTCCGAAGTCTGTCGCCTCGATTTTTTTATTCGACATAATTTTCACAAATCTTCGATCGGCGCATCTTAAGGAGACGCGCGTGAAAGAATATCTGCAAATTTGCCCGATATGTACAAATTAATTATCACCCTCTTCAACGAGCGAGTTGCTATGCTTCCGATATCGGATATGAGAGGACGTTATATGACGTGTGCACTCGCGCGATAAAATATATACGCGCGCGGGATCAAATAACATTTGTTATATTAAATGCCGCGGACAAACAGGTGTAATTATTCCGGCCGGCCTGATCGAATGCCGAATAATTATCGAATGCCCGATGCCGCACCGGCGCGACGCGGCATAAAAGTAGTGGGTATTAAGCGTATACTCGACCCGGAACTAAATTATCGCGCCGGGGTGTGTAATAATGCATGCATGCACGAACGAACGAACGAACGAACGCTGCCTGCGAATCGATTGCGACCTGGTCGCCTGGAGCAGCGGCGAACTAAAAAAAAAAAAAAAAGATTTCTATTTCCGAAAGACAAATCGGGGGGATATGATGTTGCGCTCTCTCCGCCGAAGGCCAGTGTGTGATAATTAACTATCGATCGACCGCGCGCTTCTCATTATAGTTGGCTTATTTTCGGTGGCCTAATTATTGCCTTGTCGTTCTCTCGCGCTGAAAAGCGACGCCTCGACGTAATTTAAAAATAAAATTTTATTTTCCGCGACTTTGAAAAATTGCGAAATAGATATTGTTACGTCTCGCCTTCGGCTCGTGCGTCCATCCCCCGCACTCGTGACCAATTGTCAACTTTCCGCACGTGATACACATACTATTTTGTATTACAAGTGCAGGCAAAGTGGCTTTGTGCGCAAGGTGGCCGATCGCACGCCGCCATCTTGCGGCGGCACGGTGCGGGAATAGCCGTGTTCAAAGTCATTGTCCACGGCTTCAACCGTGGACAATGACTTTGAACACGGCTCAGCCGTAGGCAATGGCTTTGAATGCGGCTTATTCACTCACCGCCGCTAGATGCCGGCGTGGGAAATCGGCCGCTTTCCGCACAGAAAACACGCACACAAAGTGCCACTTTGCCTGCACGTGTAATACAAAATTTATTTTAATAGCTAGCGCCATTTTTCGGCGAGTTGTAATTGAAGAAAGACTTTATAATTTGGAATTATACATGCGTATTTATACATAACACCACAATAACGAATTAATCACATGATTCGTATTCATAAAACGTTCGGCTGCAGATCTTTTATATTTCCGCCTGTATGTACGTACATATAATTAATGATATTTCCATATAAATCAGAGCAAGCCTTATTTACCGTTCTTTACATTACAACCGTACAGATAAAAAACTCGAAAAGTATCGTAATCGTAAAACACACAGTCGCTACTTCCGACCGCGAAAGGGGGTTGAAACCGTAAGCGCGATAAATTGCGGGGATAAATCCTGGTAAATATGATACCGCAAACCGGTAAACAGTAAACGGCGGTAACCTGCAAAGGAAATACGAGGAAGGGTAGAAAGGATGAGGAAGAAGGTGTAGGAGTATAAGGTGCTCGTTTAACCGATAGTCGTGTTATCGACGCTCATCCTTTCGGCACTCTTTAAATATACCTCAAAGTACATGTATACGTTAGAGAACTCGATCCCAATCTCCTGGAGGAAATGGAGGAAGAGAGG